GCTGATGGTTTCTGCGGCTAATAAGCTGGCTAAAACTGATTTGTTGTGAGAGAAAAATAAGCGAACTTCTCCGTTATTAACCGCCTTCGTTGATGGGCCTTAGTCGAGCCGGCATCTCGGCCCAAGAGGGTGCCCTTCTGTTTGGCGCCGCCGTCGCGCCGCCGCCAGTGCTGCTCCTCCTAGCGGCGCGGTCGAGCGTCCCGCGCCTCTGCCGGGTCTTGCAGCGCCCCGGCCTTCGACTGGTCTTACAGCTTCCCGGCCTTCGCCTGCTCTTTTCCCTCGGCGGTGTCGGCAGTTTCACGGCCGCCGGCCTTCGCCTGCTCCTTTCCCTCGGCCGTGTCGGCAGTTTCGCGACCGCCGGCCTTCGCCCGGGCCTGCTCCTGCCACGGTCGGCGGGCGTGCCGCCAGGGGCCTTCGCCGGCGCCTGGTGCTTTTGCCCAGGCCCGCTTTTGTCGCTAGGGGCCTTCAACACACACCCGCCGCCAGGGGCCTTCGACGCACCCGCCCCCAGGTGCCTTCGGCGCACCCGTGCCCAGGTGCCTTCGCCCGTGCATGCTCCTGCCCGCCAGGGGCCTTCGACGCACTCGCCCCCCGCTCGGTCATGCGCGGCCGCCCTTGGTGCGGCTCCCTGGCGTAGTCGGCCTTTTGCCGCTCGAGGCCTTGGATCGCCCTTGCGCGGCCGTCTCGCCCGATGCTGGTCCGCTCGCGGCGCGGAGGCTCCTGTGTTCTTTTAATTTCATATATACTATGTTAATCATGATAAACGGAGAAGGAAACAATCCGAACCACTCGAGTCTGGAGATGTGTTTTACAACAGATTCATCGCACTAAGAGAAGTAAGTTCCCATAACTTTTAATAATGAAAATTACATATCCCCACTGACTACATAAGCGGTTACATTCTCCACCAATATCCACATTGGTAGTAATATAGTTTTGCAAATTTTACCTTGCATTACATTTCTCTATTTATTTTTTTAAGCAATGCTTTTTATATTGTGATAAGGCCATTATATTATTACAGTTACAGGTTTCCCCTTCTCTTTCCCTTTCCCTTTTCCTTTTGCTTTCCCTTTTATCTTTATCATCTAGTACAATACAAGCCAAGAATCTGACCATGGATACAGGATGCTGCATGCAGCATGTTACTGACTTGTCGCTTTGCAGGAAAGCAAATAAAGCAAAAGGAAGGAATGGATACACCAAGTCACCAAGTAATTCAAAAGCTGTATTCTCTACGCATATTAGTTTTGTGGAAATGATATGGCGTGTGTTGCCTCAAATTGGTACGTATCAAATTACATTGAGGTATACACATTACATGATAGTCGTGCAAGAGTTCGTTCCACATATGACCTATATCTTTGCTGACCTACACTCATGTGTTCAATACTAGTGTTATAAATAGCAAGCTGTAGCAATACTAGCGGTGTTGGAGAGTTAACGATATGACCACTACAAAAGAAATAGTGGACTAGTGATGCTATTATCGGTCTGAGAAAGTTATTATTTCTAAATTGTATGGCCTGTTGTTTAAAATACTGTTCAATACGTATGTCTGTGCACATTTGATCATGAATTCAACTTCAAAGATATTTTTTTGTGATTTTTATTTATGGGCATGCTTGTCTTTTATTGTAGAAGAAGATCTGTTGATGTTATTTTTCTTTCTTTTGGGGTGAATTTGTTGATGTTATTTTTCATGTGACCAATTGAAACAATTATTTTAACATAAAAGGAAAATAAATTAGTAAAATTTAGTTGATCATTTATGTGAAAAAATTCTATTGGCCAGATACATAAAAAACCAAGAGTAGGAAAGAAAGATTAGAGAATCTTCAAAAGTATGGTAAAATCACTCCCGATCTTGATTTTTTGACAAGATGAAAAACTATTCTCAAACAACTTTCTATCCGAAACCTCAATCTATGTGTGCTTGGAAAAATAGAGGCATCCACGCGCAAAGATACCTTGGAGATGCATCTAATCCTTGGATTGCTCTGCTTTTTTACCTTAACCTCTTTGTGATTGTTATTAAGCTGCATGAGAAAGCAAGTGATGCTGCAAGCAAAGAATCTGACAAGTGATGACTATGCTTTGCAGAAAAGCAAATAAAGCAAACAGAGGAAGCAAGGAACGAAAACACACCTTGTAATGCATACGCTGCACCTGCACTCATTCTAGTGGCGCTTCTTCTACTATACACGCCAACCCATTTGTAAGCATGGCATAACTAATTCCAGATAGGCAGCACATGCATATGCTCTGTCCCAGAGCGAGCCTGTTTTCTCGTTGTGATCCAGGTAATTTACTAGTAAATTCTGTCTTCTTCTCCCATGCAAGTTCATGTGGTTAATTATAGTCATTACGTGTTTTTGCTAAGCTTTGAACACGAGGGAGATCAGGATTATAAAGGAATGCATGTTGTTGTCCAGCTTGAACTAGTACTCTGCATATCCAGGATTAATGTTAGTTTACTATTTCTGTCTGCTTCTCCAATGCAAGTTCATCTTTCTATCGATCGATCGATCTTGCTTACTTTGTATGAGTACTACTAGTATCACGCAGAACTTTGTTGATTAAATTGCAACTTTGATCTATCAACACGGGCCAAAGCTGAATATATACTGTGTGCAGGAGATATCGATTTGCTGGAGTGAAGTCTGGAGGAGGAAATCTGGTGCTTCGATGCTGCTATGCATACATTTCTGACGTCAAAATCTAGAGCTGCAGATTCAGATGGAGCTCCTGGCCTAGCTTGTAGAGCTAGTTAGCCCAAGAGGCAGGCGACAGACCAATTCATCATGCCAACAGAGGTAAATCAATAAGTGACTACTCCTCCACGTACATACTGGTGTCTTAATTTGCACCGATTAAATTCCTCTGTTTTTTGGGCAATTAGTTTTTGCATAGGTCATGTTCAGTTTTGACCAAAAATAAAATCTATTGATTTTAATTTTTCATGTGACAAATATCAACAGTTATATTTATATATTGTTTCTGAAAAGGATTTAACTGCAGCACGAGGTCTGAAAACGGTTTTGCTTTCTGCTGCACTGCAAAATTAAAGAGTAAATTGCACACTGGGTACTTAAACTATTGGGGCAGTACCATCTAGGTACTCGAACTGAAAAATCTACCACATGGGTACTTAAACTATGGGGGCATTACCATCTGGGTACTCGAACTAAAAAACCTCCCACTTGGGTACTTAAACTATTGGGCCATTACCATCACAGGTACAAATCGCGCACGCCTTGCTGAGTGAACAGGAGCGCGGGAAAATGAATTTTGATTCTTTTTCTTTTTCTGAAAATGGATGAATAGTGCTGGAATTTGTTATTTTTGTAAAAAAATAATTAGAGCTCCAAACATTCTAAAATTTTTTGTGTAGCCTCTATATGATGTACTCTACCTAGGAAAAATATGAAACTTGGAAAATGATTGCCTGTTTAGTTTCCAAAATTTTGTAAAATTTTTCAAGATTCTCTGTCACATCGAATATTTGGACGCATGTATAAAGCATTAAATATAAATAAAAAATAAAACTAATTACACAGTTTAGACGGAATTCACGAGACGAATCTTTTAAGCCTAATTAGACTATGATTGGACACTAATTGTCAAATAACAACGAAAGTGCTACAGTACAATTTCCCAAAAATTTTCACCAACTAAACAAGGCCTGAATGGTTTTTGTATGTTTAAAAATTACCTCTTTTAATTAATAAATGAACTTCCATAAATTTTATAATTAAAATAAATAAATGTCAAAAAGAGGCGGCCTAACTGTGCTCGCCTGCTCGCTCGCACACAGTTAGGCCGCCTCTTTTTGACATTTATTTATTTTAATTATAAAATTTATGGAAGTTCATTTATTAATTAAAAGAGGTAATTTTTAAACATACAAAAACTATTCATTTTCCAAGTTTCATATTTTTCCTAGGTAGATTACATCATATAGAGGCTACACAAAAAGTTTTAGAATGTTTGGAGCTCTAATTATTTTTTTACAAAAATAACAAATTCCAGCACTATTCATCCATTTTCAGAAAAAGAAAAAGAATCAAAATTCATTTTCCCGCGCTCCTGTTCACTCTGCAGCGGCGGCGACGGTACCAAGATGGTAATGGCCCAATAGTTTAAGTACCCAAGTAGAAGGTTTTTTAGTTCGAGTACCCAGATGGTAATGCCCCCATAGTTTAAGTACCCAGGTGGTAGATTTTTCAGTTCGAGTACCTAGATGGTACTGCCCCAATAGTTTAAGTACCCAGTGTGCAATTTACTCAAAATTAAACACACATAGTCCACTATACATCTCAAATTGTAAGACATATCTTTTCTACAACCTTGATTCAAGATACGGGGTTGTATATAATATAATACATCCGGCCCCTTAGTAGTAACATACAGAACAGTATACTGTATACGCCAGCTTTGTCAAATTAATTCGTAGTATTTATTGAAGACAATCGAAGAGATGTAGCGGATACCATAGATGGCGCAGCAGAGCAGATCATTCATCTTTTGGAGGCTGCGGACAATCGAAGAGATGTAATATACTGCCAGGGCTGGTATGGGTTTGGAGCGTCTGCCGTACTCAAAGCTGTCGTAAAAAGACTAAGACCATCATCTGGGTTGGCTGACACGGGGACGGCAAGGGACTTGGGAAAGATCATCCACGTCGATGTCTCACGGTGGCAGAGCAAGAGAGCCCTACAGAAGGTGATTGCAGAGGAGCTTTAGCTACCCCCGCAGGTGATGGCACTCTTTGACCAGCATGATGAGGAGGATGATTTTGATGGGGTGGAGCAGAGCGATAGAGCTGTGATTCAGAGCAGCGATCATGAATGAACTTATGGCTCGCAGATTCCTTGTGGTTTTTCACAACGGGAGTGGCAGCTACATCGATCTGTGGGAGGCCGGTGTCCCTGTAATGGGGCAATTGGGTAGGAGGGTGCTGTGGACATCCCGAGGCAGATTCTGGCATCATGCCAAAGATGGGCGTGAAGACCCAGTCAGCTAAATGGAGCAATGCAGCTATATCCGTTATTCCATCACCAATTTTGGAGGGAGATAATTTTGCTACGCTTCAAGTGGTTAGGCACGCTCTATATGCAGAGGCCGAGGAGGTTGCTAAGTACACAGGTGTCCCTGAACTTGACATGAGCCCAAAAATTGTCATTGAATGCATCTTGTACAGGGCACTGAAACACAAGCTGAGCATCAACTGGGAGTCCCATGGCTCTAACTATTGGGTATGTGATGGGATTATACAGGAAGGCACTGATGGCGGTAGGTCAGCATGGGAGATCAACGATGCTTTGCAGAGGAACATGAGCCTGGACTTTTGTAGTGTGTGTACTGAAGTAATCTGTCGAGCGCTGAGTAGTGAACAGAAGAGGTGTATCAAACGCTGGGTTTCTGTTATCAACCAGAATTCCACGGAAGTCCAATTGACATCTCAGGCAACATCCTTCTGTACAACAAGTGGACCATCAGTTGATCACAACAGAACCCGGCGGGTTGTAGAAGCAGGCATGTTTGAGCATTCAGATAGGACGACCAATCTGCGTGTGATTCATCTCTCCCACTGCACCTTCAGTTTTTCATCTCCTCCCTTCGCGAGTTGCAGCAACCTAAGATTCCTCCTGCTTGACCACTGCAAAAACAATGACGCACAAGAACTTGGTGAAGAAAAGGAATGCCATCATCATAACAACTGTAGCCAACAAGATGGCAGAGCATGCTTCCGGAATCTATGGGTGCTAGAGCTGAGTTATACAGACTGGTACTGGCTGCTATCGAAAGACATGTTGGATCTGATGGTTGACCTCACGGAGTTGAATGTGAAAGGAGCTGGTAACCAGAGCATCATGCATCTACATCGTTGCAGTGGTGCCGGAAGCAACAGTCGCAGTTTAATCAAGCTTCGAGTGGTGGCTGATGATTCAAATAAGGCTGCTCCGGACAATGATGATGGTTCTAGTGGTGATAGAAATCAACAAGTATCTCCAGCAGTGGTAGCATCATCGTTTTTCCCAGACCTGTCAAGTCGGCACATCCTCAAGACAGTCATCCTTGATGGTTGTAGTAACCTGGAGCAAATTGACTGCAACGCCCTACCCCTGTCACTAGAGTCATTTACTTTGATCAGCAGTGTCACTGCCAGTAGTAAGATAAAGAGGATCTCCTTACAGGGGTGCACCAAATTGAAGAGCCTATTATTGAGAGGGTTGTTTGATAGCCTTGTGGAGCTGGACATGTCTGGTACAGCAATTAGAACCCTTGACCTTAGTGCAACGCAAACCTGGGGCCTCAGGCGACTCTTCTTGTTAGGATGTGAGAAGCTGTGCGCGATATTATGGCCACAGGAGGCAACCAAGGAGATATTGTTGGAGATTTTGCGCATTGACACCACCATTACCACCTTTGCAGCATGGGACAGGGAAGAAGGAAAGTCCAACAAGCAGCAAGAGGCTACTGCTAGTGACGGTTCAAGTATTAGTATAGGGTCATCATCATTAGCAATGGTGTGTGGCAAGGACCGAACAATCATCGACTCGGATTCATATATTTCCATAAGGGATCCAATGCTTTTTCGTTCACTTGAGAGCTTGAGACATGGAAAATGGTTGCACGTGGAGATTTCATCTACTGGACCAGGTGACAAAGGTACCAGTCAAGGAATTAATACTAGCGGTGGTTGTGGCAGCGCTGCTGTAAATGTGCACAAGCCAGGTGGAAGCTTGTACGCTGATGACATCATCATCATTTCCACATCTAATGGCAGCAACTCGCAAGCTGATGATGATGCCATTAGAGATGTCTTTAAGGCCGCCTTAGTGATGAGGAGGCGCAAGTGGTTATGGGGTTGCCCGCCTATTCCTGAGGATTCTGATTGGGCTCACTGCTACATTAGCATACAAGATGAGCCACAGACCGAACAGTTAATAAATAGAGCCACAACTCTACCAGCACTTGTGAGCAGGGATGCTAAGACCTTGCACTTACATGATAGCCTGTTCATCACGTCTCCCAGGGCCTGCACCTACTGCCGCTGAAGCAAATTTGAATTGGAATGAACTAGAATGGTGTCGACTCGAGAGATGCCCCAACTTGGAAGGCGTTGTTTTCACTACACCATCACTAAGCCAGACAGGATACATTATTTTCTATTGTCTGGAGACATTCTGGGCATCCCAACTCCAAAGGACTGGAGCACATCCGGGTTTCGTCCTGGAGAAAGTTCCTTTGGGGCCCGTTCGTTTCAAGGGGAACTGTGGCCTGGAATCATTCCTACCTGGTTTGCTTGCATAATTTGTATAAGTTTTGATCACCTGGATTGATTCCAGGAGGAATACTGAGTAACCGAACAAGGCCCCAGGATCTTTCGTTCTTACACCTGGATTACTGCCCCAGGCTGGTACACGTACTCCCCTTGTACACAGAAAATACCAACGGATGCCGTAGCTTGGAAACCCTTGAGATCGTGTGTTGCGGGGACCTCAGGGAGGTCTTCCCATCTGATTCAAAATCACAGCAGCAGGAAGAACCAAGAGAATTCCCTAGCCTGAAGCGCATCCACCTGTTTGACCTGCCCAAGCTGCAGCGCATCTGTGGTTGGCGCCCAATCTCGAGACTGTCAAGATCAGGGGATGCTGGGTGCTGCAGAAGCACGCTGCCAGTGGTGGATTGTGAGATGGCCTTGAGTGGGACGGGGAATCGGCTGGCCACCACCCTTCCCACTACAAGCCCAGCTATTCATCCCACCACCGCTAGCTTTGTCATTTATTTATGTATCAACGCGATGTCATGTGTGTACCTGATATGTCTGAACTCGAACCGTTTTGGCTTTTTGAAATATAAAAGCAGGGGAGACCTTTTGTCTAAAAAAAATATGTGTACCTGATATATATGGATCTGCTTTTACTGATGGATCATGTCTATATTCTTGTTTTCTTCGTGTAGGTAGGTAGCAATCCCTTCCATGGAATGGTTCGTCACGCACAGGAGAGGATCGAGATATGCTATGCTTGGATTGCTCTGCTTCTGTCGAGTCTTCAACGACTCTGTTTTATTGTGTGTGTGTGGAGGAGGCACTGGCGTGTCGCTCTTCATTTGCCAGGCAATGACGACTCGCCTGATCGATGTTAGGCACTCGTCCGCTGCTTTTGCTTGATATATCGTGTGTGGCAGAGATGCTGGTTTGTGTGTGATCGGCATCTGCTGCGCTGCTTCCGATCCATTGCATTGCATGGATCCTGTTTGGTTTTAATTTTCGTGAGCGAGCCTTCTGTGACTGTACGTGCGTGAGAGGAAGAATAAATAAACAAGCTGAGGAGATCATCAGTCTTCAGCTTCAGCAGCAGCATGAGAGCTAGCGGATCATCAACTAGTGGGTCTGGGTGCGTGTACACCTCTGCTTGATTGAGATCCTTTCCTCATGCAGTCTCTCGTTGCTGGTGTTGCTCTCCCACATGGTCTGCTTTTTGTGTGTGAGAGAGAGAGAGAGAGATTTCCCAGCTATGCATTATTATATTGACAAATAATTATTGTTGCTACACTGCTACTAAATGATGAGAACCATGATGAGTATTGCATTTTATCTTTCGTTTCATTGGAGCAAATCTATAGATATGGCTTATATATAGTATTTAGCAACTGATACTACTATTTTGCATGTTACTTATTTTGCATTGGAGGCACCAGTGCATCATATATATTTTGTTCTACTTTCTTGGAGGGATAGTATGCTTGGCTGTCTTTTCGCCCTTTGCAGACATATAAACAGACAAGTGAAAGTAGGGTCTCAAATCCCTTGCTGTGGGTGTTGTCTTTTCGCTCTTTGCAGACATGCAAACAGACATGTAAATTCTCAGTTGCTGCCACCAATCACGGACGCTCGCTTGTCACTTGTGTGTGTGTTAGAGACCACGACGTCCCACTAAATTTGGCTTGTGTTTTATGAGCAAGGGCACAGTAGGTGATCACAAGATTCGGGGTCTTGATGCTACAAGGGCCATTCTAAACCCTCATGGCATCGGTGCCCAAGTTTTCCAGATGAAGATATTCTGCAATTCCAGACGCTATCACCTCTCAGAAACCCCTTGATTTCCGTTGAAGCCAGTTCTCGGTCAAACTCTGCCTATTCTCCCAACTTGTACAGTAACTTGATCAAAAAAAAACTTGTGCAGTAACTGGAGCTCTGAGAAAAGACAGAATGAACGAACTTCAGGTTTCAGTCTGAATCGGCAGCTCTGCTGCTGCACCGTATCACGTCAGTTCTTTTTCATTGCAACCATAACCAACGCCCCTCGAGGACAAACCCTGTGGCCGTGAGTTTTATTTAGGCCTGCCATTCCCAGACCAGCAGACCCAGACCTCCGAGGTCTTTCTTGTCTGACGACAAACAGGAGCAGGCCAAGCGACCATGCATTCCCCTCTGACGTAAGAGTAGTCCTTCCGGCCCAAAGGAATCCATAGATTGCTTCATTTCTCGTGTGAATTGGAATGGCAGCCGTGAGCACAATTTGACCCAATTGATTTGTTATCCTCCATGTGTTAAAAAAATTTCAAAGCAAGCACAAAATCCAAAGTCTACGGTATGTGATTGTGTTGTTTCTTGCGAACGGACGCTAGACCGAGTAGTCAAGCTGTCTCAGGTAAAAAACACCATCGCCTGTCCGCGTGTTCAAAGCCCAGGCCTAAGGACCAGCCAAACTCACATGGACGACGGTGCCACTGTGTAAGGACGGGGCTAGGGATTTAGGGGTTTTCTCCGCCTGCGTGAGAGGTCTTTCTATCTTAAGCACAATGCTCGGGGCTATCTTCCCTCGCAGACCGAGTTTTTTTTATTATGTTGTTTCTTATTTGAACACCAATTATGGAGGCGTCCACCTGGGAACTGGGATCGATTATCTATCAGCATCCAGTGCGAGATAACCTTGTTGCTAGGGATTTGTTTTTCTTATTTTGAAAAAAAGATTCATGCTCAATCAATATGCTGACGCCAATAAAGTTTACACACCATCGAGGGTTAACACGTTCGAGGCCGCACACGGCCTAGTATGTAGCGGAGATAGGTCAAGATAGCAAGGCCGACCAACAAGACGGTCACACAAAACCTGACGCCTGATCTTTGCCCAAAAAGCTCATGAACACCTCCCGAAAAAGACCCATCAAGGAGAGACACAACGAAGTTGTTCTAGGGTCGGCAAGGCCACCTAGAATGCCAAAGAACCTCATTAAGAGATGCGTTGAACAACAAGGGGTCAGGAGTGTAAAGGGTAGAAAAAGAGGGAAGTAGATTGATTTTTTATCGATTGTGTAATTGGATACCTCAATCAGTCGTGCTCCTCCAATATATATAGAGGAGATGGTCTTATCCAGCTAGAAAACATTTCCAAGATCCAATATATATAGAGGGAATGATCTTATCCTAGTAGAAAACCTTTCCAAGACATAATTTTCAAGTTTCTCTCAAGATCAGAGGAGTTTGGATCGGAATCCAGTAAACTGGACACATGCACAGGGGACATTGGAACTTACGACTCATCCCTCGTGGCATACGTCGGAGCTTCCGACACATATCGGAACTTCCAACAAGGGAGGGACCATCGAAAACACACGTCAGAACTTCCGACATGAGGCTACCAATAAAGTGGCAGCGTTTTGAGCACTTCGAAACTTCCGACACTTCGGAGCACCCAACAAATGCCCAAGTCCAAATCCAACCTCCTCTGACCCTTTTTGCTAACAACATATGGCCCCTGTTTTTTTAAGACGAAGCTCATGCGAGTTTTTAAAACACATGGGCACAAGCAACAATGTCAAGCCATCGACTTTGTTCTAAAAGAGATGCATGTATCGGCCATATTTGTTCTAAATGCGATATTGTATATTGGCCATTGTTTGGACAACACTTAGGTTTCTTGCCAAACACTACTTTTTCATGTACCTCCCATTAATAGCGCTTGGGAGACAATCACCGTGCAGCGTCTCTAGTACATATAAATTTCTAAATAACACTTTTATTACCTTGTATGGAACTTCCCAATTTGGAGACCCACTACTACAAAAAAATTATGCGAGGCGTTTTGAAAATGGCGTCGGAGGCGGGCGGACATTTGAACCGCCTCGGATAATGTCTGGGATTAACCAAGGCGATCATTTTTATTAACCGAGGCGGTCATTTTTATTAACCGAGGCAGTCACAATCGACCGCCTCGCAAAATCAATTTACGGAGGTGGTCCTAAAATCTATTAACACAGGCAGGTCTTATAAGAGGCCCGCCTCCAAAAATACCCCTATTTTCGGAGGCGGACCTCCTAACATGCCCGCCTCGAAAAAAGGCCGAGGCCCAAACAGGTCCAGACCGAGGCCCGATAGCCGGAACAAGTATAAATAGAGGATTAGGGTTTCTCATTCACTCGTCTCTCTCTCCCCACTCGCGTAGTTGCGACTCCCCAAGCGCGCCCCCTCCCTATCTCACGGTCGTGACTCCCCCAGCGCGCCCCCTCCCTAGGCGCCCCTCCTTCTCCCTCGGCGCCCCTACCCGAGCGCGCCCCCTCCCTCTCTGTCACCCTCTCCTTCTCCCTCGGCGCCCCTCGCACGGACTCCCTTACTTGGCCACGGCGGCCTTCCCCTTCTTCCCCACCGGCAGCGACGTGGAGACGGCGGCGGCCTTCCCCTTCTTTCCCACCGGCAGCGAGGTGGAAGTGGCAGATCTGGTGGGGAGCTACAAGGTGGAGGCGGCAGATCCGGGGGGAGCAGCGGGGTGGAGGTGGCGGCGGCCTTCCCCTTCTTCCCCACCGACAGCGAGGTGGAGGCGGCGGATCCGGTGGGGAGGTGCTCTCCGGCGATGGATCCGGCAGGGAGGAGGGTGGATCCGACGGGCAGAAGTGTACCAGTGGCAGATCTGGCGGCGGGGCTCTAGATCCAGCATCGGGGAGCGGTGGCGGCGCGAGGCCCAGATCCAGGCCCGATTAGGGCTGGGTACGGGCTTTTTCTTTTCTTTTTTATTTTTTTTATTTACTGAGGCGGACATTTGGACCGCCTCAG